AATTGAAAACTACTTACTGAACAAATAAAATCACACAATTTAAATAAAAACATATTAATTTACTTGTAGCAAAATTGTTGCGTATCCTATTAATGCATATATATCATACCTGCAGTTTACATTAAATATTAATGATTTCATTAATATTATTATCTATTATACCTTATAGTAGATAGTTTGACAGATATGATTTAGGGTGAGAATTATGACATTAGTCACAGCAAAGTCCATACAAAAAAGTGCAATGGGTAAAATCGTTTTAGAGTACGTCATTATTACAGCATTTTTCTCTAATTGGAGCGAATACATTTGGCGACAATCCTCTAGAATACATATTAAATAACATGACATTTGTAGTGACATTTGTAGACTGAATATTTTGTTCAGTTTCCGTGATATAAGGGATAACTGTAGATGGACATGCCTGTAATTAAATTGTTATAATTAAACGAATCACAAAGACACATACAAGAAGGTCTAAGCATAAAAAGTTTTTAGAAGTAGAATTTGATATAAATTTTATAATTTATAGTCTGCTAACAAATGTACGATAATTTTACACAATTAAAGTTAAAATTTGTGTGTAAGTATGCTATAATTTTTCTTAAATTACATTATAATCCACATATATTGCATGCGTTTTTTAGATTCTGTTTTCTGCTGATTGACTAAGATCAATCGATTTTGTCTTCTGGTACAAATTGCGTTGTCTTCTAAATCTTCTAACAGATCAGAATATAGTATAAAAATACGCTCGTTGATTCGTTGGAACGTCGAGCTTGTGTGTCTGAATTTAACGGAAAAATATAATTACACTTTTAATTAAAATTAAGACTTATATATACATCATATAAACATATTTTATTTGTATTAATTATTATATAGCAATTAAAGTCACATACTAAATTAGAATTTGTTTTTTATTTGTTATAATTTAATTTTATATGTCTTTAGAGATATATATTGTATTTTGTACATTTTTATACATGTAATAATGAATTTAATTTTATTGTTTTTATATTTAGATTGATTTATAGCATGCTTTACAATAATAATGTTAACTGACAAAATTTTTCTATCTAACAATAAAAAACCATGTTAAACCGATCTATCGATCTATCAAATTTGAATCTATCAAAGCATCTCGAAAGTCTCGAAGTTTATTATTGACTCTTTTCCGCGATGATAATTCATTATCTCGTGTGAGCGGCTGTCATTGCATATTTTGATAGTTGTGTGTATTGAAGTTAATGTGATATATTGTAATAGCAAGTTATACTAAAAACTAAACAATGTTAAATATAGCATACGCAAAGCGCACGTGTGTGCTAATATTTAAAATTATATAAAGGATCTCAAAATATTGAAAAGAGTAGATTTTCATTGATTTTTAGATTTCAGTAAAGCACATATTGACTGTGAGAATAAGTAGTTTACGAAAAATATATAATATACCGACCGTAACATAGCTGCCCAAGTCAAAGAACTTAAATTATTGACATGGTAGAAATGAAATCCCAGAAATGGAGCACAGATTCTAGCGATGTTTAAATTGTAGTCATAAATCAAGTTAAAACTGCCCAACACATTCATTAACAAAGACAACACAATCCATCCGATTATTATTCGAATTATCCAATTACGCAACCGTTGGTATTCTCTTGGTGTTCCGAGTGCTTCCAATGTATCGTCCACTATCGAAAGTTTGTGCATGCACATTTTTAATTCCTTTAAAAAAATCATGTTAACCGATATTATACGATATAAAGAGAAATTATTGGAATTTTGTATTTCGATAAAAATTATTTTTATATGTATTGAGAATGTGATAGAGAAAGAAGTTATCGAAATTTTATTAGCATTTAAATATAAGATTTTAAAAAGTTATGTTAAATTCTAATTTAAGTAATATAAATATAAATATTAATTTTATCAAGCACACTACATCTATTAATAAACAATAATAGAAACAAAAAAATTGGTCCGTTTGAAAGCTTTTTAAAAATTCATATTTACTTTTAACAGAGAGAGATTAATTAATTTTTTTAATAAAGAAGATAGTTTAACGACAAAATAAAGATTAAAAATTTAGATAATTAAAAAGTGTTAAAAATTTAAGATGTATATTTAAAATCTCTTACCTTAAAATAAAACAAGCTAACAAGCATCGACGAAATTGCGGTGATTATTATTGCTATACTATCATAGGCTCTGTAGTAAAAGGCTGGAATATAACGATTGTACGCTAGATAGTAATAGAAACACACAAAGAGACTCCATGTAGTCAAAATATACAGATAAGTGAGATACGGTCTAGGTTGTCCAAGAGGATATTCGAACAAGCTTAAACTGCAGAACGAGCCGATGATCAATAATGGTGCCAGCGCTGTCTGTATCGTCTTCGTCATAGTTTTCTGATTATCGGCTATAAATTTAAATTACATATTTTGCTGCGCGAGGCATAAATGTGTTTCAATACCTCCTGTAAGGATTTCAGTAACAGTTTTACTTTGTTTTCGTAGATTCTCTAGGAAACTTTATAATAATTACACTTGAAGATACGTTGGAAATGCCGCTCAACTAGTGAGTATTGAGCGACAGAATAAACACATAGATAATCTTGATTAGATAGCCTTTTCCTCGCGGAATTTTTATTTATACATATGTATTATTACAAGGCGTAAACGGTTGCAAATGACTATTCTTACGATATTGAGTCTTTATTATAGTCTCAAATGTATTTAACACATGACTTTTAACGTAACGATATTGGCGTTGAGGCTGATAATGACATTTTATAAACAGAACCCGAGAAAAAAAGTTTCACATATAATTATATATAATTATATACAAAATATGTCCATATATGTTTCTTTCCTGTGTAAAATTATTCTTTAATACAAAATCGATAATAATAAGAAGGAAACATAAAAAACAATTTTTATATTGTTTTTTTTACAAAAAATTTGTAGAAATAAGAAAAATTGCTTATATATAATCATATATAAGTAATTAAAAATATTTATATCTATATACAATTAAATAATTTTTCTCATTTCTTCAAAGTTGATTTTTTGTAAAAAAAAACAATGTAAAAATTATTACTTTTAATTATTATTTATTTTTCCTTCTTATTATTATCAATTTTGTATTAAAGAATAATTTTACAAAGGAAAGAAACATATATGGACATATTTTGTATATAATTATATATAATTATATGTGAAACTTTTTTTCCCGGGAAGTTAATGCGTACAATATAGCAGAGAAAAGTTGCCAATATTAATATAGGCCTTCTAGATTCGAGACATCCACTTATTTTTCAGAAACTGCACAATGCACTTTAATTATTAATATTAGCAATTAATATTAATAGCAAATAAAAGCATGATCTTTTATAAGTTTAAATAATTAAAGAGGATAAGCCAATCATTATATATATTATTGTAACTTGTTTTTATATAAAGTCAGTTACAAACAAATTCAACAAATGGAAAAATAATACATACTTACAATTTTTTTTGCAAAATGTTTTTAATTGAAAGTTGCAGATAACAACTCGTGATTTAGCATATTCTAAAATAAAAAATGCGTTAAAAGTAAGCGCTCCACAAGTTTTTAAAAAATAAAACTTAAGTGATACGTTATTATAAAAAAAAATAATTATATTATTTGTATAAAAAATTCAATATCAATAACTGGTACGCCAAATTACTATCTTGTAACAATATATATTATAGAATATAATAATATATTACGTATAAATAAAAAGTATATTTTGAAAATATTTTGAGATTATTTTATGTATAATCCAATATAAATATAATATAAAAGAATCTACAATATAAATATAATATACAAAATTAATTATCGGCAGAAAATTCATTTAAATGCCAAAATATTCGAAAGCACTCTTGGCAGTTTACTATATCTGTTTTCATTGATTTACGGAGGCAGAATATTGACATTCTTTTATCATATAGGAATAAAAGGACCATTCTTACTCTTACTCAATACACCGCAATCTCGTTGTGTATGTCTGATTATCAGGGAAGAAGAAACAAAAGTATTCATGATATATTGATGTGATATAATATATATATATATATATATATATTATAATATAATATATATATATATAAATATATATATATTATTAAGCAAGATTGTAGATAAGAGGTCGTGGATTTAGCATATTCTGAAATGAAAACATGCAGATGCAAGCGATTTTTGACGCCGAACGCGTACGCGGGAAACGGCGCGGCCGGCGGCCCGACGACACGCCGAAAGATCGTTTCAAAGAATCTTCCTTTGGACGAAGAATGTCCAAGAGGACAAATCCGGACGTTAATATCCGACTCGGAGCAGTATCTCCAAAAACTGTGTAAGATGAGACATATTTTAAGCTTTCGCTTTTTTTTCTACGATCTCTTACTTATTCCATTCTAATAATTGTTAATTTCTTTTCCATGACAATTTCTAGATTGAAAATATTTCAAAGTGGTTCCACGAAAAAGGACCTCGTGACATCGTTGTCAGTAAAGGACAATTGCATCGTGCGTCACCTTCTGGGAACAATCTCCAGTCTGAGAAGCTGAGTTGGCCTCGAGAATTCTTTGATATGGAACGTACTTTTCATCTGTAGATAAGCATATGTGAATGATAATAAAAATTATTTCATTATATTTGTTGTTTGCGATTGAATCGATCTTTTTCCACAACAAGCGATAAAATCCTTAAAACATATATGTATATGCTGGATGCACACAGGACACAGCAACGCTTTGCCACGCGGCGAAAATTAGCATTGTAGCCAATCAATTTTATACCGATTTTCTTTTGCTCTTATAGAAAGGATTAATTGACTGACTACAACGCCAACTTCCGCCGCGCGGCAAGCATTGCCGCGCCCTGTATATGCATTCAGCAATAGCATATGTAACACATATGCGCATATGTTATCTAAGTTGGAATAATTTTTTCAAAGAACGTATCTATTATATAACTAATTTGATCTGTTTTCTGTGGGCTTTAATAGCCGAAGAATTAGTTAAACTCCTGAAAACAGACGTACTTCAAGCGGCTATACAAACCAAGTGAGAACAAGATATTACGAAGGAATTGCAAACAAATAGGCCGTCAATTATAAACGATCTTTGGCGCCGAACGCGAAAGTACAGAAACAGCGACCGACGACGATACACCGAGCGTCGTTTCGAAGAATCTTCCTTGGAGGAGAAGTGTCTAAAGAGGACAAATCACCGTCAGTTATCCGACTCGGTAGCAGTATCTACAAAAACTGTGTAGTCATATTTTATAGCTTTTGGTATTTTTTCTATCTCTTATTCCATTCTGATAATTTCTGATTCCTTTTCGATGACAGTTTCTATAGGTTGAAAGTGTTAATATCAAGGTGATATCATACAAAAAAGAACCTTGATGTTGCCAGTGTAGGATTGCATTGCGAGTTTATATAATAATCACCTCTGGGAACAATTCCCAGTCTAAAAAAGAAGCTATCTCGAATTGAATTCTCTGATATGGGATGCAACTGCCCATCTACAGGTAAGCACCCGGGAAAAAAATTTTCATATAAGAACATATATAAATATATATAAACATATATATAAAAATATATAATAATATATAATTATATGCAAAAATATTTTTATATATATCTATACATATATTTTTTTCTTTTGTAAAATTATTCTTTAATACAAAAAAATGATAATAATAAGAAGGAAACATAAAAAATAATAAAAAGGATAATTTTTGCATTATTTCTTTTACAAAAAAATCAAGTTTGAAGAAATGAGAAAAATCGCTCATATATAATCATATATAAATGATTAAAAATATACACATGTAATTATATATGTATATTTATAATATATAAATATACATTATATGTATATTTATATACATGAACAATTTTTCTCGTTTCTTAAAACTTGATTTTTTGTAAAAAAAAAACAATGAAAAATTATTCTTTTAATTATTTTTTATATTTTCTTTTAATTATTATCATTTTTCTTGTATCAAACAATAATTTTACAAAGAAAAGAAACATATGGATATGTACAGACATATTTTGCATTTTAATTATAAGTATAATTATATATAATTATATATTTTTATACATGTTTTTATATATTTATATATGTTCTTATATGAAAAATATTTTCCAGGACATGTGGATAATGATAAAAATAACTATCTTATTATATTTGTTATTTACGGCTGAATCTTTTTAAACCACAAGCGATAAAATAATTTTTTCAAAGAACTTATCATCTATTATATAACTTATCTGATTTGCTTTCTGTAGACAGCCAACGAGTTAGTTCAGCTCCTAAACACAGACATACTTCAAGCGACGTACTGCTATAATAAACCAAGCGAGAACAAGATATTACGGAGGAATTGGAAACGACGAAAGGTCAACAGAGCACAAGACAGAGGATATTAATTAATTTCCATAAATTTACAACTTAAAACACCATGTCGATCGAAGCGTTATCCGGTAAAGTTTTCCTGCTGATAACTGGTGCGAGTCGTGGTATCGGTCGCCAAATCGCGATAACATTTGGTTCGATGCTGGAGGAAGACTCGCGCGTGCTTTTATTAGCGAGGAATAAAAATGCAATGCAAGAAGTTGCAGCAAATATACCTTCCAAAGTGAAAGTTTATACCATTAGTGCGGACTTGAGTAAATCAACTGATACCAACTTCAAAGGTAAATCGTTCTCGTTATCAGAATCATTCATTCGTCTTAAAATAACAATTTCATTTTTGTGTGTCTTACAGAATTCATATCGGAATCTTTGAGGGGAACTACTCTCAATGCGTTTGATCGAGTGGTCCTGGTACATAATGTTGGCTTTATCGGCGATGTCTCTCAAACTCTAAACGATATATTGGACCTGAATGTCTGGAGAGAATTCTACGATCTCAATTTTTTTGTGCCTGCCGTATTAAACGCGGTGGTCATGAATACGTTTAATAGTAAAGCTATTAAGAAGACAATTATCAATATTACATCGCCGGTAGTTATTCATCCGCGCGCTTATTATGGCCAATACGCTTCGGCAAAAGCGGCACGAGACATGTACTTTAAGGTATGTATATTTTTTAATACACAATATCTGTGTAATCATGAAATAGATATCATATTCTTTTATTTTTCTTCATATAGGTCTTTGCTTTGGAAAACCCTGATGTTGACGTGTTAAGTTACTCACCGGGACCTGTCGATACGGATATGTTTACAACGGTGTGCGAAAAACTCGCTGATTTAAAAACTAAAAAAATGTTCAATGAGATGAAAGAGAAGGGACTTGTGTTGACAACAGAACAAACTGTCAATTGCCTTGTGCAAGTCTTGAAAGAACATAAATATAATTCGGCTGATCATGTGGGTTATTACGACGATATGTGAAGCAAAAAAAACAATATTTATAGAAAGAAAAAAAACAAAATACAATATGAATATAACAACAAATAAATTTATTCTTTTACATTAAAAATAATTTTGGTCTATATTCTTAAAAAGATAACTAAAAAGGTAACATAACAAAATAATGTAAAAATAGAATTTCTCTACCCATAAATACTTTATACATTAACGTATAATTTTTCTTTAAACTTCTCTTGTTAGATAAAATAATTAATGTTTTAATAATATTTAAAGCACAATAAATATCTACAGTAGAATTGTACAATTGTATTTTTTCTAAAATCCTAGATTACAAAATTATTATATTTTACTGGTTTTATTTCACATGAATTCCATTTTGTATCTTTTCTTTCAAATTTATGGCATTAATTTAGAAAATCTTTAAGTAATACTTATAGAAAAAAAATAGATGTTTATAAAAAGTATGAACATCTTTCTTTTTAAAAGTAGATTGAGTATCAAATAAAATAAATATCAAGGTATTAAAAATCATTAATTAAAAGCTGTTTATAATAATAATTGGAATATTTTTTTCAATAATAATCTAATAATAATTGGAACATGAAAATAATGTTCTAATAATTGGGACAATTTTCAAAGATTGTATGTCACAGACATACGTATGACTTATTCACAGACATATGTATATTATATAAAAGTTTCATGTATAAAATTTATAAAAGTATGTAAAAAAATATATGCTTTACATATTGCTAAAACACACACAAATATATTATTATCTTCTCACATTTACCTAATCACTTGATTTATCTTGTAAATATACCTAGTATATGTTTCTCTTGTTAAGATAGCAAAATGACATCTGTAATTAAACATTTCCTTGATAAGATATCGATTCACTATCATCGTTTATTGGGATGTAAGGCGATGTGGCGCTTCGTGTAACTTCTCTTTGAATATATATCAATATCACAATAGTTATCACGTAGAGTCCTGCTGATAAGAACCACACTGGTAGTGGGTACAAAGGTGGCATGTAGTAGGTGTAGAAAGAAGAATACAGAGTAGCTGCCGCAAACGGCAATAACGCTTCCAGAGACGTAGCTACAGAAAAAACCTTGCCTGTTGAAACAAGAGTGGATTTAAAAAAATGTGTTCTCTGCAAGATTAACGTGTGTATCTTAGGAAAAATTGGCGACTGTACATTAGAGATGTAAATGGAAAAAAAACCGAATTGGTTTTTTTTTTATAAAATACGTTTTTTAAGAAAAAAAACCTAAGCCTCGTTTTTTCTCAAAATTTTTTTTCTAACTATCTATTTAATATCTATATTTTGCTTAACATAAGTTAATTTTTCATGATTTTTTATTTTATAGATAGTAGATTTAAATTATCATTATTTTAACCTTTACGCAGAACGAGAAAGCCAATATATTGATTCTGAAATATATTTTGAAGCAAGGACTTCAACGAATAATTATAATAAATTTTACTTTAAAAAAAGCTGTTTAGAAAAAGAATTGAAAAAATTCTCCTTTTGTAATAGTTAAATGTAGATTACATTAAAATTAATTGTATAATTATATAATTACTATTTACAATTAATTAGTTGTGCTATCGGAATTAGAAAATAATATCAAATTTGTATTTTTTCAATAAAATAAAACACGTTTTTTTCTAATGTTTTTTTCTATTAGAAAAAAAACGTTTTTTTTTACATCTCTACTGTACATACGTTTAAGAATGTTCTTTTTATCTGGCACAATTCTATGTTTTCGCTTTTCTTTTGTAATTATTTGTTAAACTCAAAAGACAAGATTTTTTACCCGTGTCCTGCGTAGGCACCGCTTTGGATAGTAAAGCACGTATCATCGGTCGAGATATGTCGCCAAACATTCCTATAGTCATTGATAAATACATATGCCAAGACTGCCATGTGAAAGCTCGTACCAGGACACTACCAAGAGCCGATATGACAGACACTATGGCAATCACAGCATCTGGAAATCCTAAATCATTCAAGTATTTCGTAAGTTCTTAATATATTATTACAGTATAAGATAACGAAGTGTGTTAAAATGTCCGTAAAGACGAACCTGCATATTTCCGCATTAATTTAATACCAGATATCGTGCCGAGTATTGTCACCACAATACCTGCAGCATTATAAATGGAGTATTCTTCTACGGTCCAGCCGAGCCGTGCGTTTGTGAACAGATATCCGATAGTGAGATAGCCCTCAAAGACAACCAAAAGTATCGTGAGACAAGCTATGCAGCTCCAAACTAACGACCTATTGAATCCACTTCTCTTTCTCACACACGCATTAATAATATCCCTCACTTGCGTCAAGTCGAATATCTTGCGAATGCCCTGTAAAGAGAGACAAAAGCGAGGATTACTCATTCATTTCCGGGAAAAAAATTTTCATATAAGAACATATATAGAATAATATATAGAAATATATAGAAACATATATAAAAATATATAATTATATATAATTATACATAATTAATTGCGAAATATGTCCATACATATCCATATATGTTTCTTTTCTTTGTAAAATTATTGTTTAATACAAGACAAATAATTACACTAAAAAGAAAACATAAAAAATAATTAAAAGAATAATTCTTGCAGTTTTTTTTACAAAAAAATCAAGATTCAAGAAATAAAAATAATTGTTAATATATAATTATATATGTACCTATATTTTTAATCATTTATATATGATTATATATAAGTAATTTTTCTCATTTCTTCAAACTTGATTTTTTTGTAAAAAAAAAAACAATGTAAAAATTATCCTATTAATTATTTTTTATGTTTCCTTATTATTATCATTTTTCTGTATTAAAGAATAATTTTGCAAAGGAAAGAAACATATATGGATTTATATGGACATAATTTGCATATAATTACATATTCTTATATAAAAAATTTTTTCCCGAGTTTGGAATGTTCATTAATTCATCTTATTGTTAGTCTCCAAACCGCATTGTTTGTCCACTTTCAAAAGCAAATTTGACTTAATGAACCCTTTGAGACACCTACGGAAGTACGACTGTGTACAGTTTCCGGGACGAAGAGTAATATGTACAACGTCGCCAGGATACAAAGCACAGTTGCGACACTGAATACAGCGGTGTAACCGTATGCCTTAAGTATCACCGGACCAGAGAGCAATCCAATTAGTCCACCAAGAGATAACAGCGCCTCTAACCAGGCTAAATGCCATGCCCGCTCGTTATCGTCTATCATATCAGTGATGTAACACGTTGAAGCTAATATCAATATGCTTATGCCACCCAGGAGAGCGCTAGGGATGAAGGCTATCAGCAAATACCAAGGTACAACGTCCCAATCAGCCATTATAGAGAGCAGAAGATAAGTTATGGATATACCTAAAAAAAACGAACGTTAAATAAATAAATAATTTAAATGTAATTAGGATTACAAAAACTGTATAAATAATATAACAATTATATTTCCTAAAAATTGTTTAGGAAAACAGTTATATGTTAAATTTATATTTCTTAAACATTTTTATGAATCATATTCTCTGATCTATTATTATCTATCTCTTTATATCCCAGTAAATGAGAACAGATTGAAAAAAAATTCAATTCAACGTTCGCGAATGCGTGCTTCTGAAAATCTGACTCCATTTCAGTGCCAAATGCCTTTGTATTCATTTAGAAATTGCACGAATCGCATTTTCTATATGCCATTCAATCCAAAAAAAAATTCAGCTTTAAAAAGTAAGTCGTGAACTGGCTAATTCAAAATTCTAGATAGGAAATGCTGTGATTTCAATCTAATTAAATTGCATTGTTTCAATCCATCTAAATTTAAAAAATATATTTTTCTTTTGGATTTAGATGGATTGAAACAATGCATTTCCTATAGTCACAATTTTTATCCTAGTCACAATTAATATAATATAATAATATTATATATTAATATTGTATTAAAAATATTATATCATATTCATATTATGAAATAGAAATCCATAATTCATTTCCACGAAGGCCAATCCATTTCAATCCATGAATTAAAATTTTTTAATCCATTTTAATCCTTTCTCGTTTATTAAGACTTTAACATTCAATTATTATGATTCAATATATATATATTTCTAAAAGTGAAGAAGTTTCTTTCTGATCTCTACAGCGGCATTCGTATCTATTAAAAAATGTGATTATATACCTATGTATCCTGAAAGCATAAGAGGCTTCCTCCCGTACTTGTCACTCCAGGGTCCCAGAAATAACGACAGGATCGAGGGGAAAATACTTTGCAAGAAGGCTTTAGCTGTCACAATTAGACTCGTGTACGGCTGGACCATAGAATCGATTTTGAGCGCCTCCTCGCTGGTGCTATTGTTATGGAGTATCTGACACTCCGTTTCGTTCAGCCTCAACGTTTCGAGGCACGTACGGTACAGTATCAGATCTGTCAAGATAGTGCCTGCAAAAAAAAAAATTGCGCGTCCACACAGCCGTATAGTGACTGAGACGAAGAGATGGTTCGTTACCTGACATCGTCAAGGCAATCAGCAGCAGCATCAGGGGCGGTTGCACGAGCAAATAGCGTCTCCATTTTGGCATAGTTTGGTCCATTTGGTCCATTATCTTCCTACGAGGCTTATCAAAAGCCTATAAACACTCTCTACGCGGTGACACAGTGACGAATGCTTGATAAAACGGCCTGCGAGCGCATTCATTGACGCGACTTAATTTGATGGTAATAAATATAAGAACTGCAGCAGATAAGCAATTGCGATACGCCGCGCCGCGGTTGTCTCTCGTCCAAGTATATCCGTCCAAGTATCCATTTCTTTGTTTCAGAAAATTGCTTGTGTATATATATATCACGTACACTCTACAGTCTACATCCGTGTTCTATGCGTGTGTACGTGCAGCTTTGTGCACAATGCGCGTGAATGTATGCAGAATGTTTTCGAGCTCGTTTCCCTGCATGACGTAATCTGATGCATTTTGGCCATGAGACTGCGACAATTGCGTTTTCGAAAGTTCGTGCGTGAACGATACATGGTTAAGATTCACGCTGTGAAATGTTCCCAAATTACGACGAACGGCGCGCGAGAAGGTGTGCCTTTTTGCTTTTCTCGCGGAACATGCGTGGGCGGAGATTTAGGAACGCGTTTGACAGATCCACACTCGATCAGCTGATCTGTGATTTGACAACATTTCAGCGTAGGCTAGAATCGTTCTCAGCTGATCACGGCTGACAAGGAACGTCGGTAAAGTAGCGGCACGTTGAAGATTTCTGTAATATCAACCTTTCTTGTTACATTATATATACATATATATATCGTATATATTTATATATGTTTATATGTATATATATAGTTTATAGTTTATGCCAATGTCGCAATTTCGAAAATTTCTATATTATCAACTTTAATGGAAATTAATAAAATATAATTTGTCATTTTCTCATTATTTATTGCTTTATAACTCTAATAAATGAAAATTTAATATAAATATCACTTTTCTAACATCTTTACTAATTTGGAAATAAAATTTCCAATATATGACTTGCTCGAATCGTGGAATCGTTTGAAATTAATGCAATGTTCAGAAATATAAAAGAGACCGGAATTTATACTCCGGACTCATTAGAATAAAAGGCACGTTGGGATTGCATTCCATTTTCGTATTTATGGCAAAAGAAATAATAGACAATTGTTTACCGCAAAATATATCTAACTTTTATAATGTAAATTGTATTATTTTTCCCTAAATTTTATTTACATCAAACAAATATATAATATAATAAAAAGAGAAAAAAATTTTAAGAGAAAAATAAATTTTCAAGAAATAACTTATTTAATAAGCTGCAGGCTTCATTAATTAATTAAAAAATGCATATATTTGCAATCCATTTTTTATTTTTATTATGCAGTTTTCGTTTATTTAATATGAATTAATTGTCGTGTAGGTATAATTTAATTATAATATAATGTATATCGATTTATCTGTATCGAGGTAAGACAATTATAATACATTGCAGCGTATTTCGTATTTCAATAAAATAAACAGCTAGTATACAAAATTGTGCATGAAAATGTAGAGAAAGAATTTCTCATCTATATCATATTAGGGTAGTTTAATATATCATATATTGTATATTATGTATAATATTTAAAAAGTCGAATACTAAAATTGTGAAAACCCTGCCTGATTCGAGTTCCATCAGTCTCCTCTAATCTTAAATTTTGCTTTAAAAAATTGGATTATACATATATACAAAATATATTCAATACTAAAACAACGCTATAACTTGAGAGAAAATACCTGTTGAGCTGTTTGCTTTTGTTACTTGATGCGATTCATGTCAGAGAGACTCCGGTTTTTTTCCAGCAATATTTCATAGAAATACACGTGACTTCAATTCCAAGTCCCAGTCTACAATAGGCATAGTAATAAACTTTAAAGCCATAGGAAGTTGACCAATCGTAGTCAATTATTCTCCTCACATTCGACTGTGATTGTTGCGACTTAAAAGGCTCACTATTATCTATTATAGACCGGGACTAATCGGATAATTCAATAGAACTTCTTTATGCTAAACTAGTGTACGCTTACACTTGAAATGGAATAGATATATATATGTATATATTTGTGAAATTTGGTGAAAGCAGGATATAAAAAGTTTTTAGTGCAATCTCCAGTGTAGTATAGCGCGGTTTAGTACAGCGACGAAGAGAAAAGATCCCATGGATTTATGGTTTCTTCCACATCTCGCTCAAGTGAATTTAAATCTTGTGATTTTTAGTTTCAGGGATAAAACAATAAAAGTATACAAATGCTAGCATAAAAATATGAGTATTTATGTGGTATATTAACAATATACAGAGAGAGTTTATAAGTACAAACGCCGAGATAGTTCTTACATTCTAATCCCACTCTCCAATATACATAGCACGCGGGGTCGGAGGTATTACGCCTCTCGTCGGGATCGGTAACCTTCCGTATATGTGATTATACGGCGACTCATTCCTGTTGTCCGAATCTGAAAGCATAGCAGCAATTATTACTAATAAACGTGATTATAAAACAGCTTAATATGAAGCAGCCATACGCCGTATTATTTTTCCACTCTCTCTCTCTCTCTACATAAAAAAATCACTTTCTATATTTATTTCAAAATACCATCTAAAAAACAAATTAATTTTGAGTAATAAAAAATAATAATAAATAACAAAAGTTAACAAAAAAGTCTCTATCTAAAATAATAAGTCTCAGATGGAGAGTTGGCGAGATTCTAAGTTTACGTGACGCTATACTGTGTGCTGCACTACTAATTTACTTAATAGCAATCGTTTTTAGATCAATAAGAATTGATTATCACTTAATTATGCCTTACCAAGCCCGCTTTCGAAGCTTCTGGCGTGATACATAATGGGCGGTCGATGGGCCGGTAGATGCCCGTATATCTGGGAGGATTGACTACTAGCGTAAGCGGCGCCCACGTAAGACGGCGCCGGCTGTGCCCTGGGGTGTCCTCGAGGCGGAAGAGGACCCATCTTGCCGTGACCATTTCTCGCCATTTTAACAAAATTCGGCACACGTGCCCGTAAACCGCAATAATATGGATCGTCTGAAACACGTAACAAAAAGTCACGATTTGAACACGGGACATGTTTGATGAGCGAAATTGCACGTACAATAAATAAAATGCAATTAATCTCTTAAAACACGTCGTTCCTCACCATATTTTTTCCTATCGTCGTGTTTACTTCGCTTCTCCTCCATCATGGGGTGCTTCATCGCCCTGCCGTAGTCGTCCTCTATATCGTCGTAATCAGGCTGAAAATATAGATGCCGAAGTAGTATATTTTTTTGAGGAGATATTCCAGTCTAGAGGCCAAAATTTTTTATGCTATTTTTGAGAATTTTTTTAAAAGAAAGTATATAAAGTTTTTTGACACCCGGCTTTTTCCTACATATTTATACATATTTGAAGTATGTTTCAAAATATTTGTATTTAAAAATAACTATAAATAAGCGCTGTATACGATATATATATATATACTGAGGTCATGAAAAAAAATTAGTTCCCGTGATATCTCGAAAACCGATTGATCAATCAAATCGGGCTTGTGCACACATCTTTAGATGCACATGCGTGCATCTACAACCCCTACCACGATGATAAAGTCAAAATATAAATTTTTACACCCCTTTAATGATTTTAAAAAATTGCAAAAATTGAAACTTAATTTTCAAAATGTCAATTTTTAAATTTTCAATATTTTTTTTCGTTCTGGTATCTGCTATAACCAAACTCATACTAATTAAGAATTTCTTTAATTTTTTTGTTTTAAATGAGCAGAACAGCCGGAATTATGGGAGCGGTGGACTAATTTTTTTTTCATGACCTCAATATTATATTGTATACAGCACGTATTTATATTTATTCTTAAGTACAAATATTTTTTAACATACTTCAAATATGTATAAATATGTAAAAAAAAACTTATTCCAAAAAACTTTATACTTTCTTTTAAAAAAATTTGTAAAAATAGCATAAAAATTTGGCCTCTATATGGACTAGAATACGCCTTTAACTTAACGTCGTAAATCTACTTCAACTTAACGCACGTTTTTAACGTTTACCTTAGGGATACCGTGGCCGTAGAGATTTTCTCGAGGCGGCAATTTCGGCGGCCTCTCCGCGCGCCGATGATGGTAACTCGTCGACTGCATGTAGATCTGCTCCCGCGAGTCCCTGTCCGCCGACATTATTTCGCTGGGACCCACGGACGACGACACGCCAGCCACGCTGTAGGGATCCTCGTCGGGTATTGGTATTCTAGGTCTATTCTTTATATCCACCGGCCTCTGTAGTGCTAAAACTACATTAAAAAAAAATACAATACAACGAAATGATACAAGCTATTCGAAATCGATATCACGATTGCCGCCGCCTCAGCAAACGGGAATGAATTAAAATAGATTAAAAAATGCATTTCAACGTTCGCGAATGCGTATTTCTAAAAACCTGAATCCACTTCAAAATGCCTTTATATTCATTTATAGGAATTGCATGAAGCACATTTTCTATGCCATTCAATCAAAAAAAAGTCTGCTTTAAAAAGTAAATCGTGAATACTAGATTAATTCAAAATTCTAGATAGGAAAAATGCAGCTTTTCTAATTAAATTAAAAAAAAAAATTTTCCGTGAAAATGGATCATGTTATGAATTAAAAATTGTGATTAGGAAATGCATTGTTTCAATCTATCTAAATCCAAAAAATGTTATATATTATAATATATTAATATTATATTATATTCGTGTTATAAAAAATAAAAATGCATTAGATAGAGATAGAAATGCATTCATGTTCACAAAGCCAATCCATTTCAATCCGTGAATTAAAAAATTTTAATCCTTTCTCGTTTACTAAAAGATTCATTTATTCTAATTCCCTTCCACAAAGAAACGTTAATATCCAAATCCAGGTGAATCGAAATAAAGAACATCGACTGTGTTCCATATTTAGACAAAGTTTATCATGAGAAGATTAAAGAAAATAAGTAAGTAAAATCTTGTCTCTTAATTAACTTCTAACGCGATTTTATAATCTCGGCCTCAATTAAACAGACATTATAGACATCGAATATTGTTCGCAAGTATATAGAAATTTCTATGTAGCGTTTAATGTATGTCACACGCTTTCCAGCGGCCGCGGATATACCTGGTGGGAGCTTCGACTTGAGCATGTCCAATCCTACGACGTTGACGATGAGCACCCATACGGGGCACTGAAGCAAGTCGGCTTCCGTTCTCACGAATATGATAGCGCTCAGGCACTGCATCTCCAATCGCCGTCTGTCCGGGTAGGCCCGCCGCGTCTCGCGCGACAGATTCGTTTGGAATTTATTCATGTCGAACAGCTGAAACGTGAAGCCGGTTCAAACGCGTTCAACGGTCGGCACACAAGCCGTTCCGGCGATATTAAGGAGAAAGCGGTGCGGCGCGCGGTGGTTGCGTCACCCGCGCCGCGCGCGCGGCTATAATATGGCATCAATCGCGGCTTCCCCGACGCGGGGGGGGGGGGAGTGACGCGTAATAAAAAAAAGCGCGATTATCGACGGAAGGAGCAAAACTAATAAAACGAACAACGCGAACGCGCGGGGGAGCCATATCCTTTTAGCCAGGAAGCGAACGACGATGACGACGACCTATACGAGCGGCGGAATTTTTCGCTCTCCTTTCGTACCCGGGCGCGCGCGGCGTATATATGTGATTTCCTGACGATAACGAGATTTAAACGCCTCTTATTATACGGTTCGGTTGCTTCGTAGTTTTAATTAGAAAGGCGATGCGGTTTCTCTATCAGCTGCGTGCATTCTCGCGCACACACGAAAACAACGTCCGCGATAAAGCCAACACACGTGTGCGATCCCCTCGCGTGCGCGCACCTCCGGCGGCGGCAGTGGCGAGGGAAAACGCCGTGTAGCTTTTCACTGTTATTATTATCACTATTATTTTTATTATTTTTAATTGGTAGAAGTAGGCAAGTGTAACTGAGAACACTCGCGCCCCATCGCGCGATTGACCCATTTTGATGCTTTCGCCGATAAATATTTTCACGAAAGAAATCCAACGCGCGCGCGCGGTTAAGAAACCGCGAAAACATTAACGGTAACCCACCTTTCCGGGTTTCTCGTGCTCGAGCGCACCCTGCGAATTACGTATGATCTCCGGACCGATCGCGTTGTCCTCCTGATTCGTCGATTTCACATGCACGTTATTTTTACATAATCTCTTGATGAGAATGTTCCCCTGCTCGTCCATCTTTATTTTCACTCCCTGATTTATGTGACGCTTGGCCTCCTCCGTTTTCGGGTCTCGCATGGGATTGTCGAATCCGCAAAGCCCTATCCTGTAAATCAATTTGCCGAGTGGTGTATAATAGCGCGTGTATAACATGATAACATTATTAACTTAATGTATTCATACAAATTATAATACGTTGCTTCTCGGCAAAGCTTTTTGAAGAGTATCTATACATTTATATGACTTATTGAAATATCTTCCTGTCCAAGATACTTAAATAAGAGATTAATTGAGAATTGAATTACATGTTTCTCGATCGATATGAAAAATTATCACAGTGTATTTCAGAATAATTATATTTCGACAAGAGATATTATATTAAATAATGTGAAGCTTTATAAAATCTAAATGGTCTGTGTATTTACATGGCATTTTTTTTTCTCATCTTACTTTAATTAAGAAGCCGTAAGTACTCCGTATAGTTTAAAAAGTTACAAAAATTAGCAGGACGGATATAAACAATTCGTATATCAAATTTATATATATGCGTGTACCTGAATCCGTCAAATCCGTCGTTCGAGCCATTTATCGTGAGGACAGGCGCTCTGGCATACGCTTTCGCGACCCGTCTATTCCTCTCGAAGACGATAACTTTCGCCCAAATTTCATCGTCTATCTGATTCCATTTATCTAAGACCTCCTGTATGTGATCCTGCAAGAGAATAAGACAGGCAAAAAAATAAGCAGCCTGGATAAATCAGTTACTATAGCGCATCACAATGCTGATATTAAAAGCATCCATTTATATATTCAGTTATTTCATTCTAACGAAACTATTTGTATATGTATGTGAATTATGAATATGAATAATCAGGGTTGGGAAGTAACTCGTTACTTGTAACAAAGTTACAGTTACAGTTACTTTTTTTCAATAACTGTAACTTAACTTCGTTACTTTCTTTCCATGTGTAATTGTAACTTAACTTACAAGGGAAGTGTCAAATTCTGATTTTAATAAAACTTGGTACACTTTGAGGTCACAAATAGATGAATTTAGAAATTATCAGTTGGTGCTAAAAAACAATTTAAAGGGATGAAACCACCCCTTATATGTAAATTAATTTTTTTTTCTTTTGTTATATCTTGAAAACTATTCAAGATATTAAAAAATTTTTTATACAAAAGTTTTACTGTAAAATTACCTCTATTCATTTACGTTAATAGAATTTTTTTTAAAATTGATTATTTTCAAATAATTTTTTAA